CTGTGCTATTTATACTGAGTTGGCCATTTTCAAATAAATTTTAATATGTGCACTTCGGTACTTATTTACCTACAGCGGGTACATATATACGTATCATTTAACTGAAGCTTTGCAAAATGTGTCATGTCATTGGCATTTCAGTTACGTGTTGAAAGACTTCCAGGTGGTCTAACTTGACTATAATTTGTTTATTGCGGCAAGGAAAGTGCCCTTGGTTTGTCCTGCACTTGAAACAATTTTTTTTGGTAAGAATATCTGCTTCAAAAGCCACTTTTGCTGCTCTGAAACACTGTTTTAGCTGCTCCAAAAGCCACTTTTGCTGCTCCAAAATGCTGTTTTGGCTGCTCCAAAAGGTGCTCCAAAACAACTTAGGCCAATCACATCGCTGCAATATTGTGAGGAGCAATGTATATTGGCCAGATGAGCAGGTGTGTGAATGACCGTGCCCGTGAGCACGTGGCTGCCACGCGAGCCAGCCTGTCTGGCCACCTTGCCATTCGCTGCAGCAGATGCCCCTGGTTCCCGGAATTGCATTATGTTAAGATTCTCGCAGATGCAATGACAAAACAAGCAGAGAACTGCATGAGGAATATGAAATTCGGGAAAAAGGAAACGAGTGTGCAAGTGAGGCGTCAATCGCCCTATTAAACAAAGATGCTTTGCGCCGAAGTGGTGATTACTAGGCTGGCCGATGGACCCTATATACTAAATGTTCTTTACAAATAAACAAGAGTTGCGAATGTACCTTGTGTTGTCTACCTTCATCTTCGTCGTTGTTGTTTTTGGTGCCTTTAAACCTCTAATACAATTAACAAACTAGCCTAATTACCCGTATTACTATTACCTATCTCTGTTCATCAAACACTTCCTTACCACCAGCATGTCACAGCCACTCGTGCATATGCGCTCATCTAAAAGGCATTCATATGGATGTAATCACCGTATTTGGTTCTATTTTTATGTTTTAGATAACCTTTCGAGACATTGCGGTTCCTGAAGCGCAGTTGAAGCATGTCGACACGAAGCAGCCGTTCATTTATGGCCAGGAACTCGCGGTCATGGTATTTGGAACTGAGGCCCTGACAAACGGCTGCCCTACTGGGTCGGCAATGAAAGAAAAGCTTCCTAAAGAGGGAGTTAAGGACTTGGTGGGTGAGTAAATTGCAGTAAAGAAGAAATGACAAGGCACTGTTGCAATTAAACTTAACAGGAACAAATGCTAAGTCTACTCTTTTTGACTTAAATCCTGGACAAAAGCTCACCGTACAGAAGCTCACCGGTCAAAAGCTCACCAGGTAAAAATTTGATGTTGGTCTTAGAACGAGCGCAGACAACTTAGGTGCGTGCGTGTAACACTAAAACACAACGATGAATGAAATCTGATAGGCTCATGGTTTGTTGATTTTAGAGGAAACAAGTTTATTTATCGATTGGCTAGAAGCAAATGCAGACTCCTACTGCCTCCAGCTGTCTTGGTAGATCTCGATGTACCTGGAACCCCGTGAAAATATTTTCCAGACGGTTCTGGCATACCTTGAGTCAACCCAGATCGATCTTATCAGCTTCAGCTCCACTCAGTTTGGTGACCTAAGCTTTGGTCTCAACTCGTTGCTTCTGTTCCTGTTATGGCTTACCTGTTGATACCGTTGCATGAGATGGGGTACCACTTCTTCTAAAAATAGTGCAATGTCCATTGCGTCCGCACTTTGGCCCAGCTCGTGATTCACCGGGTAGCCAAAAAAAAAATGGTGTGCGAAAAAAAAAACGGGCGAGCTTTTGTTCGGTGAGCTTTGCGGTGAGCTTTTGTCTGGTTACCATTGGACTTGTGTCTCCGTGCTCATAGATGTTTTTTTTTTGCTTATGTTGAGGTATTTGTCTTTTTGTGGCATTATGTCTTGCGCTACACCTCTGGTTTCCAATAATGTGCCCCGGTTTTAGCATACTTTATTTTTGCCTAGACTAAAATTCACTGTGATGTTCTTTCTGCTTAATTTTGATCGCCGATGAATATCAGCGATTAAACTTAACGAACCTTCAGTATTGTTTACATTTGTGTACAATTTTCTGAAGACAGCTGACATTTTACCCCAGCTTAGGCTGCTGAATCTTTCAAAACCTTCAGCTTGTTCAGTTGTTTTTAAAGTTATTGTTTGGTACAGTATGGCCACAATTGGTTTTGCATCAGTAAACTCTGAATTATAACGTAAAATAGATGTCAGAATCAAAATTTAAAAAAATGTGGTCAGCTGTGTGTTTAAAATTATTGTCTAGCCTACGCTATCTCCGACTTTCTAGCCAAATATCCTGAAGCATGGGTTCTCAAACAGGGTTCCTAGTACAGTATCTTTAGGGATCTCTCAGCACCTGAACTTCCTCAATCGTTCATACACCATTGTCATACACTCAATTGCAACAATGCCAACAGTGGAAGGGGCTCCTCGCCTAACAATAACAATAAATTTTTGTTCGCTGATATGAGAAAGTTTGAGAGTCTCTGCCGCAAGGAATGTTTTGTTTCCAGGCTTTTAGGGGGTTATGAAGTGGTCTTCAGACTTCGGCTAATTAAGTGCGGCAGCGGCTCACCGTCACATGTGCAGTGAAGATCAGAAAACAATTTTTGACAAGGTGCACTAGTTTTATTTAAGAAAATAGACTCATGTTTGGGGGGCCCCTCATCCTTTAAAGTCATATCCAGGTCACGTGCGTGTGACATGAATGGGGGCCAAATGAGTGAATGACAACATTTATAAAAACCTTAGCTTCAAATTGGGCAGATACCTGCTCAACTCGCAAACTCAACCACTATTGGCGCCATGCCAGTAGTTCATGTGGCCACCATAAGCTGCCTGATGGAAAATTGACCTTTCTTTCCTTTTTGATTACGCAGCTCACTCTCAACATTTTGACGGATCATGGTGTATTTTCTCGTACTTGTGATAAGGTAAGAGAAATAAAATTAACGATCTCCAGACTCTTTCCACAGTATAATTGTTTCATGATCCCTTTAACGAATTGCAAATTTCCGAAATGCCTCGTTTTAGATTAGTTCACAGCAGCAATATTTCACAAGTGCCAATAAACTTAGTCATTGGTCCCCGTGCTCAATATATTTAGATGATTCACTTTTTGTTGTTGGTTCCTCTTTGTGAAATTTTCTAAAATTATGTGGACATAAAGTATAATTAAGTAGTAATAACTAAATATGGAGTTTCAAGGCAAGTTTCTTAATTGTCTATTGTCTTCTCTTTTCAGCTATTGTTATTGCCAAATTCCCTGGGGAAACTCGGAAGTCTGTGAAATGATACTAATGAAGGAAGTGCAGCAGTACTTCCTACACTCACAAGAAAGCCTCGAACACACAGAAGAAAACTGCAGGATGAGAGAAAAAATTAGCTTTCAGTTTCATTCATTTTGTACATTCGCTTCTTTTTTCTCTCTCCAATTTCACTAGCGATTAATATTTTAGATTTTATTAACAAGTGCATTAACTTTTTTCATTCATTTTACTTCAGTCATGTAGCTGATGTTACTTCAGTCATGGTCGATGATAAATATTGTAGGTTTGATTTTAACAGGTGCAATACTTTTTACTCGTATTTCTTCAGCATGATAGTTTGTAATTTTTTTTTCTTCTAATAAGAGCATGTTTAAAGCTTTAAGTGCATCTTTGATATTTGTAAGCCAGTAAAAGTATTGTTTTTTTTGGTTCCATCGTAAGTGTGTTCGTTGTAGCCAACATGTGTTCGTTCTATTGAAAAATGTTTAATAAAAAGTTCTTACTTTAATTTGTCATCACTTTGAACTCGTCTGCATTAAAGCCTGTAACGTAATGCATTTTATTTTCGATAAATGCAAAACACTGCAATTGCTAAATCGATATAATTTTCTACATATCCTATCTGGAATTGGTCAGGAATAAATTGGGGAAATGCATTAAAAGGTTTACTAAGTGTACTCCCGACTATATTTGGAAGCCTGCTTCCCAGTTTAATTCGGGGTACAATTTATAGTACTAAAGGCCTGCATAAAAGCATACTAAAATTCTGCTCAGAAGTGTACTAGAAGAAGTATCCTAAAAGGATGGCGAAATGTTACTTCTGAAGTGCGTAAGAAGTGTACTAAAATGCCTTTTACCGGTATGCTTAGAAGTATCCTAAAAGGATAGCAAAATGTTACTTTTGAAGTGCGTAAGAAGTATACTAAAACGCCTCTTACGGGTACGCTTAGAAGTATCCTACAAGGATGGCGAAACGTTACTTATGAAGTACGTGAAAAGTATACTAAAAACCGGCCAATTTAGAGCATCAAGCATACTTTTGGAACTGCAAATAAGGTATGCTTTAAGAGCCCCGGTTTTTCGCTAAGGGGCGCCATTTGTATTGATCATGAACTTCCAGCCCTCCTTAAGCCTGAAGCTGTTTCTGGGCACAATAAATATAATTAATATATTGATTGATATAAGAATTCACTTATGTATTCAAGTATTTATAAAAGGGAAACAATGATGTCCCACACACTCAAATGTCTAATTTCAGTATATCGTGTGATTCAGCTTACGATCTTGAGATTTTACAACCTGATCTTTCAGAAAGATAAATTTAAAAAAAAAGCAAACCTTGAGCCAAGTATGACAAAATTTATAGAAACACAGGTGTGTCCTAGTCATGGTGTTGTTTTAAATTAAAGCCAATTCCACCAAGGCATTTTGGCAGTTTTTCGTATTGCAAAAAGCTTTTTTTTTCTTAAAGCATCAAACATGCTTGTTTATACAACCTCCCTCCCATAACCTCGAAAATAGTTGATCCTGCAGGATAGGAAGTTATTTGGTTGTCACTTATAGTGACAAAGTAAATAGAACTATATTGTTAATTTTTTTATCTTCAAATATTTGGAGGACAAGAACAAATGAATATTCCGTACATGAAATAGAAGCAGTACCCGGAGATACAATTCCCAAAGTCTCGTGCTTAGCAGCAGTAAACGCAATTTAGAGCCCAAGATTATTTTATTTACTAAGGTTTCAGGGAATCGTCATCAATTTTCGGAAAGTATTCTTTTCCGTGGCAAAATCCACTCAAGCAGATGCCGACCCCGCCATTTTTGGGCTAAAAGAGAAGAGACGTGTTTCGGTGAACATTTGGTTCCTTAATAAAATGTAACAAATTGGTGGACACAGAGCTAAATAACGTTTAACACGACACTTTTCTGCGGCACGAGCCATAACTGAACATACGTTGCTTCGCATCTTTCGCTAAATAAATAATTAAATGTGTGACAAAAAAAATATATCTTAAAAGATAGGTCATCCCCAACCGCAAATCATCATATTAGTTTGCAGTGTTTACTACAATACATAAAATATACTTAAGGCACTAGCAAATATTGAATTTCAAGGTAATATTTTACAGAAAGAAAATATTATTATCACCCCCAATTTTGTCTTAAATTGTATAAAGTCTTAATTATTAAATTATTTACTCTTATTTCGTAGGCCTTTAGCAATAAAACGGCAAATTGTAGCCGAGGAACAACCATTTCTCATGTTTACATATAAAAGAAAAAAGCATATAACAACTACTCCTTATCACAATAAACAAACAGGTTATTGGTGGTTCTCTAGCTTTTCCTAATAAGGTATCCAGGCTTCCAAAGTATATAATTGTCGTAGTGACACTCAGTGATCTCTGTAATAATTTTTTGGATTGTGAATCCCCGCTTTGTCGCTGCAGCTCGAATGCGGCCAAGGGAAGGAAGAGGAGGATATAAGAGCATGCGAGGATTTTAGAATCACAACACTCTGATCAGAAAGATTATTGAATAAATGCAAAGCTAGTTCTTAGATTGTTGGTACTCGGATGTACTACATTGTTATCTGAAGGACTTTCCTTAAACTGCACATGAGGTACGCTTTCTGCCCGTTGACTCAGCAGACACTCTACCATATGATATCATTATGTTGGTCGGATTACACTGTATCTGTAAGAGCCGTAGGGTAGCGCGGCATGCCAGTGTAATGTACAACCTGCAAGCCGTTTTTCTTTTTTTTGGAGTATCATACAAATTCGAGAGGTGTATCAGGCTCTGGGAGATGTCCCAGATTGGTTTCCTGTCCTCGACAGGCTGGTTGCTTTAAGATCCTTCTAGTCAATCAGTGTTGGCCGTAACTCGGCTTGTGTGTTAGCAAAATGTTAGCCTGCATGGCTTTTCTCTGCTCTGCAAGCATTGTGGCAATAAATAAGAAAGGACGTAAAGCTATATCTTTCTATGCCTTTGTTTTTCTAACGCGTGAAAACGCCGAAGGCCGGCGTGGGACACTGCGCGTTCACGTCCGCAACAATTCCTTTGGCGCCAATAGTCTGCCCTACCCCTTTGGCGTATCCAAAAACATAAAAGTTATTTAACGCGAAATAAGGTGAAAGAAAAATCTTCACGGCGCAGTCGTTGAGTTTCGGTTCCAAAATCGTAGTGTCGTCGGTTCGATTCCTTTCGTGGGGCGTTTAGGATTTTGTTCTTTCTTATCCAATAATTACCACTTGTTAATTATGTTTTGTTTCGTACAGATTATTATCTTAAGCACAAGTTACGCATTTCGTAGCGGTTTCCGTGGTGTTCCGCTGCACTTTCTAAACACGTTATCAATATAAACCAAGGAACGGCATATGACTCTTCAGCACTACTTTCGGGCTACAAGTTTTTACATTTCAAATTCAGCGGTATAACGTTACTAACAATTGTTACACAGATGTGCAACTTGCGACATCTCTAGATATCTAAAAAAAATGCCGTCACCTTCTACGTTATCACGCAAATAAATGAATTAAGCAAGAAAGAGTCGGATTCGGGAAGGCGGACGTGGATTCTTTACGGGCTCTTCCTCCCGCTATAATTTTACAATTTTGTTTTCGCAGTGAAATTTTGTTGGAGATAATGTCACGTGCTTTTGCGTATATTTGTTTCTGCTTAGTCACCATTAGTTTAGTACCTAAATATTCTTGACAATGTATTAAGCGACCAGTGCTCATGAAGAGTGGATAGATTTGGTCTCCTAGATACGGTCAAACCTTCAGTCTACTTACACGCCTGCACGCCAGCATGCAAGCGTAATAACTCGTTGTAAACAGTCAAATTCAATTGGAACGCAGTCAGCCACAATTAGACGCAAATATGTAGACCAGCGTTTATCTAGCTTAGCCTTAACCCAATCTATTATGTATTTGAAACAATGCATCTGGGCCCTTACTGGTGCATGTTTAATAGTACTCACTGTGCATTTGTTACGATCCTGGTAAACTCCGTAGGAATATCCAGAGGAATTTGTCTTGCAAATATACAGGCAGTTTTCCACAGAATTGTTCTGAAGAAGGAATGTTACAATGCGCAATGACTCACAACAACAGCATCAATGGGATAGATATACGGGGAGTTTCAGGTAAATAACGCAAATAAATAAAAATAGCTTCTTCATGCTTCATATGTCGAAACAACGAAGTAGTTCTTACAGTGTTATTGAGGGAGTCATGAAACTTTTGTGATAAACACAAGTGGCTAATTAACAAACAATAAATCGCTAACTATTAAACATTACTTTTGTACACACACCATCTAATACAGAAGTTGTAAAGCGCGTTAAAATAATGAAATAGCGCCGTTTTTACTGAAGGTCCTATTCTGTCTAATGGTTTTAAACATATAAAATGGCGACATCTAAAAAACAAATTGTATGTGCACGTGGGACCTTTTTAAGTATCTCGCGAGAATTACGAGGTTTAAGAACACCTCAAAACTAACTAAAATGACACGATATGTTTCTAAATGTGCTCCACATACTTTGCATTGGACAATTTGCACACAAACCTTTGTTTTCAAAGATTAGGTAGTTAATTTATTTTAAGTAGGCACTTAAGCACATCGCCAAAATATCTGCGATCGCCTAAAAAGTCTGTGAACAATTCTGCATTGGTTCGAGACGCGTAGCGTGCATCATATATTTTGATACGTTGCCACAAACTACCTCAAACGCACTACCTATGGTTTCTATGAAAAAGGATTTAACAAATCCATGCACTTAGTTTTATAGCTCAATATTGAGTCGCCTGTTCACTGTAGAATTTTTATTAACTTGCCAATGAGCTGTTGTGCCTAAATAACAAAATATGAAAATTGGGGAAGAAAGTTAAACAATAATATAATTTCTACTGTACGTCCGGCTTGTATTAAGTTTCATAACTATATTTATATGTTTCGTAACTCACGCTTGAAATGGTGTCGCAATTATGAAACTGGGCTTGCAACTCAGGAAGTTGGCTCCATACTTGTTGAATGTTCGCTGTCGTAATGGAAATGTATGAAATATCAGTTTTGCGCGGTATTAGACATGGCTAAAGAGGAACCCTTGGAACGTGTAGTTTATAACAAATTCCTTAAAAAAGAATTAAAAATGGTATGCTGGAGGAACTCGGGTATTGAAACATAAAGCTGGATCGTTTTATTGATATTATTCTCAGTTTATTAACGTCGCTTGTTCCTTTCAGTGGTTGGGCTAGTGAAACACTGTCTAAGAAATGTTTTACTTTGAAAATAACTCTATGTACTAAAAATTAACTTTCAGTATTTTATGATCCTGTTGAAATGGCAATGTTTTCTCGAGGGGAAAAATCGAGGTACAAATATAAATAACTTAAAAACGGAATATGAATTTGTTTTATGTAGTTTGAGAACCAAACTTGAAAGGTGTTGTTTGTATACAAATTAATAGTTTTATGGTTGTGTGTGGAACGTTACACAAATTGGTCCCTAAACTTCCACTGTCGGGGATAATGTAGACATTCAGCAAAAGCAACTATCTGAGATAAACAAAATCCGCTGCCAATGTATCTTTCGAACGGCTGCCGCATTGCGGTTTTACGAAATAAAACGCCATCTGCTCCGTTGGCACTCCACTGCATCTTTCTGCGTCACGCCTACTTGATTGTGGAACACCGTAAGTTATGTGATTCCTACAAAACTACAATATCCGATGCTGTACCCATCGCCTGATAAATGGACTAAAATTCGAAGTTCCGTTAATTTTGCTCAAGAAAAACGTTTTTGGTGAATTAATAAGGCCATACCACGCAATCTTCTCATAATATTTAATTTGCGGGTCTCCACGGATAAGACAAGGTACTTATAAGGTTTCTCATATAGTGATAGCCAGCTTAATTAGGAATTAGTTTTCATATTTCTTTCTTCAGTTCCACCTGACCAATACCGGCATTATGCACTACTGCTGCTTATCAACCACAATCATCTTGACGACGCGGTGAAACTCTATGATGCTTTATAATCGTGATTGTGTTACATCAGGCTTAACTGGAGTGTGGTTGACGCAATGAAAAAAGCCTTTGACATGGTTTTTCTCACTTTCCTGAGGGTACATGTCATGAGCATATCTGAACAGATATTCTTCTGGGACCAATGTTACGTGAATTGTTACGCGCTACAGCTTAACTTTGTTTTGTTGTGAAACACTGTTGTGACTCCCCATGGGACCTTCGGGGAGGTGCTTATTTTTTTACCCTTCTCAAATATCAAATACATCTCGAGGGAAACCTTTGCCTGGAATCCTCCACACTAACAGGTCAAAGTCCCGTCCGAAGGAACGACAACAAGAGCTGAGAAGGAGATACTGCTGGAGCCACCAGTGTTGCTTCTCAGTCTTGTCCTTTCTTAATTTCTTTAATCTTTATTCAGAAGTTACCACGCACTGCACGAAGGCCTTAGTTCAGGAGAGTTACAAACGTGATTTTTTGTTGCTTCAGTTGCAGAGCCCTTTTGCTAGTCCAAGCAATTGTGTTTTGCATTTTCCAATGTTGCCCTATAAACTTGGAACCAGATGACCGTATGCGCACCTGCCGGCAATATGAAGGTGAACACCTTACCTGGTTCATTGCCTGTTTTACAGCTCCCTAATGGTATATTAGCTCTGCTCTGAACGTCTCAAATGGTAGGTGACTTGGTGTCTAAACTTTACCTTATAGTCCTCTTCTGGAACAGAACTCGTTCCAAGAATTGCAGGAGCGTCAAAAACAAGAAGAGGGCTTTTCACCTTCTAATGGTTCACGAGTGTACGTGCCTGCTGGCCGGTGACAGCTCCCCGCGAGCGATTTTGCGCTCCTTTCGCGCTCCATGGCCATTCTGTTTATGTTGATGCTTCGCAAACTCTATGGTGACAGCGGAGAGAAACAATCCCACACCAGATGCTCAGAAAGACAAGCACACGCCCTAAACTTACCACTCTCGTGTATTAGACTACTTTGTTCTTCTCTTCAACGTCTCGGTTGACTTTCCAGAAGGTGATAAGCAGAAGAAATAGCACAAAATACTAGAAAAAAGGAAAAAAACCGGACAAAAGAAAAGAAAAGCAATAAATACGAAAAAAAACCGAAACGAGAAAATCGAATCCTTTTTTTTTTGTATCCTTATTTTTACGTTTATTTCTTTTTTCTTCTTTTTTGTCTTGCCTTTCGTCTTTTTGTATTTTGCGCTATATCTTCTGCTTATCACGTTCTAGAAAACCAATCCAGACGTTTAATAGAAGAACGAAGTAGTTGAATACACGAATGTTGTAAGTTCAGCGCGTGTGCTTGTCTTTCTGAGTTACGGGAAAGTGACTGTTTCTCTGCGCTGTTACCGTGGAGTATGATTCACTAACTGGCCCAAACATCCATCCTACCACAATGCTTCGTTCCTCGTCTCGTCAAATGAAATAAAGTATTTGTTCCTAAGCTAAAATCATCGCTTTCTGTCCTTCCTCCGAATGGAACACGCAGCGGAGCATTCCAACTAATAGTATAGCAGTAGTTATAAGGATATATAAAGCACTGAACTTCGTGCCTTAGGACAATGTATTTTGTGTCGTTCATTTATATTGTGCCACGTTTTTTGGCTGATCGTGCTACACCTTGACAAGGTCTCCAATATATAAAATGTGCAAAGATGACTGCATAAAGGAAGTTTACACAAAAACTCGGATCGAAAACTGTTAACGAGTGCCTTCTTGAGGTATTGGCGATGCAGCATGTTAGATGGGTAACAATACTTGGCAAAGAGCTAAGTGCAATACAAATCATTATTAAAATCGCTAATTGTGTTATTCTCGACATTTTAGATATAAAAATTAAATGCAAGTCTTCTTACATTCATTATATTGAACGCATTTTCCGTTCTTGCAAGTCCCAATGTGTGTGAACTGTGTACTGTTAGCATTTGTAAGAGCCTGCAATGAAAACGTTGTCTCTTAAATTCACATATAACACAACAATATTGATTCATATAGTAAAAATATACATTCTAAAAACCCAAGCTTCCGGGGTTGAATTTGTACGGCAACACACATGTATTGGAAAACCAGGGTAATTCGAATACATTATAATATACCGCGGTCCCTTTGTATAAAGGAATAGCGTATTACGGGTAGGAAACATGGCTGCTGAAATACGTCTAGGCTACCGTGATTAAAAGTGCTCAGAGGCGATGTATTATGATTGACGCTTATAGAGCACCTTCATTAAAATGAGAATCGCAATCGTTATCTTAAAAGTTTCCGAAAATTTGATCAACAGGTAGGTTTTTCTAGAATATGCTTAGACAAAACTTTGATTGTCTTGAACAACCTTGATTTTTACAAAATATAGATTTTTTTTTTACTATAGCGACGGGAAATCGATTGGAGCATGATATTTTTTTTTAGCACGCATTCCTACTCGGCTTGCGATGTAAATTAGGCGCTGAAACATGGGCTTACATTTTTATTTTATACATACTTGTGCCTAGGAACCTAGTTATTCATTCGTTAGTTAATACCACTTTAGTTCTGATTGAGTCACGCTTTATGGAAGAATATAGAACCTATGAATCAACATATACGCAGGTGCAGAAAAAAAACTGTCGGGGATAATTTGCTTTGTGCTGTTGCAACTTTTTTTTTCGTAAATGAGCTATAGATAGTAGCTTGCGTAATTATAATTCTTGAAAGAATATCATTCAATGTTATGGAATATCACAACCCTAGTGCGAGGGTAAGTTTACTTCTTGACCAAATATCTTATTAACTTAGTAGGGCTCAGAAACGTTTTTTTTTCAGTCTTCTGCAGCTAAATTTATTATCGAGCATATAAAGAAGCCGTAGCCCTGTAAAGAAAGACAGAAAGTTCAGAAAAGTAGCTTGGAACTACGTTACGGTGCTTCATTTAATTATTTTGGAACAGCTAAAAAGTCGGGTGAGAAACAGACACACGCAACACGGAGGGATGCTAGTATTCAGCTGGTTTAATCGAAATTTTGTTCAAGCTGTACACCCGCCTACTTTGCTACTGACAACAGTAAAAATCTAACATATTTACGCCCATAACAATAGATATCTCAGAACGCTCGGTTTCAAAAAGAAAGTAACAAGAAATAAAACAAACTCGTAATAAAAAAAATAGAAAAAAATTATGGCGTGCCAACGCACTCGTGAGGACATAAAAAAATAAAAACGCTTTAAGATTTTTCTTTTTAATTTTAAAAGATGCGTGACCGTCGACGAGCTGTTTGTGACAACTCTGTGACAAACTTGCGTGCATTGCAGGTGCGAACCAAAGTTATAATTCCAAAACTGTTTTAATTGAAACATCGCCGCTTTGTACTGTGTACCCCTGCCCACAACTTAGCGGAATTTTGGAAACGAAAAAGTGGAGCCCGTTTTAAACTGAGTAACGTGCTTGTTGAAACAATGACCGTGTTTTTACCTTGCCATCGCATGGTATATTTTTGACAGCTTGCAAGATTACAAAAATACAGCACTCAGATAATAATTACAGCAAACTGCTTGATGTTGAGTGAGAGCTTATAAGGAATTCCCTGGATTTTCGATTTCCAGTGCATTGGGAGTTTTCTGTTGGACTCGACATTATTTTATGTTTTCCAACAACAGTGATGAACGTGGAAGAAGAACTGAACAACTTTTCTTGAGACGAGTTATAGTCTTCTAAAGAAATAAATACATCGGAGGTCATTGGTCTTATGTAACAAATAAGTAAGTTAAGAAATGTTTGCGCTGAAGTATTATCGAGATTGAGGAACTCATTTTAGTCAGCAGTTATATGAAACGTATGAATCCGTAACTTTTCATACGATCGTCAAGGTAACATTCTCAAACAAAGACATCCATTAAGATAATTTCTCATATTAGAAATAATACTCATAAATATGTATACTTTTCTGTCAGAATATAATAATACACTCCACATTACAAAATTATTCGTTTAAATGAGCTGCGCTCAATGCTTGAGGATTGTACAATAAACTTCAATTTTATAGGTTCAAGTGTTCATGCCAAATTATTACTACAAAAAAGGTTAAATGAGTTGTCGCACTGCCTCCAATAGGGGCCAACACGTTTGATTTAAGTAATATTTTTATTTGTTCGTATCAATGAAGTGTATAATCTCATTTGAACAAGTGACTCGCAATATAAATAACGAGTCAATAAATTTGATAATAAATGCCATTACGTTATGCAGTAATCTTGAACTCAAATATGTATGGCACTGTTATGCCTTGTACATGCGTTTACAGGTTACAAATGAAGGGGATAGGGGTAAGCAAGATCATAGTAATTGTGAAGCTATACTTACAACGCAGGGGGTAGAATCTGTATAATCACCCCAATAATTTTTATCATCGTCCGGTTTTCCATTTTTGCAGGTGTAAGTGCAGCCTGGCGAATATCCCGGCTAGTTTACATGAAAAAAAATGTTTAATAAATATATTATAAAATGAAATTATACAAAAATCGAAAAAACAAAGAGAACATTTTAATTTATATAAAACAATCTTGATATGTATTTGCCTTAATACTTCAGTATCTAGCGGAATAAGAAAGAGAGAAGTTGTTAATTAATCCACGCAAAAAAGTGCAGTGAACAGAAATCCAGAAAAACAGGTACAGAGATTAAATAAACAGCTTTTGTTTTAGAAGCTCCGTTCTTTTAACAATTTTAACATTAAGCTATCAAGATTTCGATTGACGTTTAACGCGAAGTTGCCATAAAGGTAAATTTGTTGTCGATATAAGGTCAGAAATTTGAATAATTATGGCATTCAGGTATTCACCTGTGTTTACTAAAGTTATTTGTTCTCCATGAAAGCTATTCGTATCCGTTGTTAAATATAAGGCAAATGAGCACAAAAGACCAGAAACTATAGGGCTAGCAAAATAAACAAGACATGTCTCTCTGTGCGTGAGAGAGGAGGCGAGAATCTACAAGAGGCACTGATCACGTGTGCAACAAAACGCCGCCCCCTCACGTCATTATTTGTGGTTGTTTAGCAACCACCTCGACTTCGATTTTCCGCGTCGTTCCTGGTGGTTGCATTTTGGCAAAGAGCAACATTCTCTTTGAACCCGTTTCTGTTTCTCTTCTCGAGTGCAGATAACAGAAACAGAAAGTTCTCAGACTATCGGCGAATTTGCGACAGGCGTAAAAAATTGCGGTGGCTCAGCTCGGCTATGCCAGGATATACGTAGCGTGAGCTTATGCGGACAAAAAGGAGGGGCGCGATCAAGCGGCTCCGGTGCAGCGTCAGACCTGTCGAGTGGGCAACGGAGGCGCACAGCTGTGCACGCTGCGGCGCCAGTGCGTTTGCCGTGGTTATGACGTCACTCCTCTGGAATGCACAGACCGGCGAGGCGGGCGCGGCGGCGGCCGAGGGCGCGGAGGTGGTGGCTCCGGCGCGCCAGCTGTGCGCCGTGTGACGTCACTGCTCCTCGCGCATGCGCTTTACTGAGCACGGCTAATTATGCGAGCAAAGCAAAACTGCTCAACCTGGGCCAGTGTAGCTCACGCTACAAAAAGACGAGGCAGCTATGAATACGGTAACAGAGAATGTGGGAGCTTAGAGCCCCGACGCAGCTGCAGCGTTTGCACGAACAGCTGACAGGCTTTTGCCGCGTATAAGAACATACGCCACCAACTGTATCTTGAAATCAGAGCTTGCGCTGTGACTTCACTGCACTGCCGATCCAAGGAGCAGACGAACTTACTTGGCGTATACAAACATACACAGTAAAACAGAAGGTGTGACAAACATTGTATTCAAGAAAGAAGTAGCCTCAATAAAATATTGAGAAGTATTTCTAGTAATTTTAGGCATACACGAATATAGTACGTCTGCGCAGTGTTAAGCTTGCAACAGGCTATATAACGTGAATCTGTATGCCTGTACTGGTGTAACTGAGGCTGTTCAGTTAGCTAAAAGTGTTTTACTTAGGATGGCACTCATGGAGGTGTTTTTTTGAAAAATTAAAACATGAAAATTAGACATTGACGGTTAAAATGGTGTCAGACACACTGTAATTTAGACGGGTACACTATTTCCTGTAAAGTAATGGAAGACAACAATGTTTGGGATATATCTGCTATATTTATGCACTTGCTGGAGGAAAAATAAGGCAAAGTTATGCCTCCCCCATTTGTTTAACTTTTTTTTTAAACACGCTTTAGCAAGAATGTTGGTGCTGTTGTTGGCGGTTTAGCTAAACGAAGAAGACATTCGGAGACAATTCTAAAAGGAACAAAACTATGCGCATTGAAAAGCCCGATCACTAGAAATGGTGAGAACAGGTTGAATGATAAAAGTTATAGAGACGCAGGCATAGCCAGTTCAGAAGAGCGAAAATTCCGGTTAGAGGTGTTCTTTAATAATGATAGGGCAGGCTGCCTTTATGGGGTTTCGAAATTAGTCCACCTCTACATGCCGGACGCCGGAGTGCTCGCCGCCTGCCAGGACGCTCTGACGCCGGCTGCTCAAACTTACATGCAAAGATTAGTTATGTGAGGTTTGGAATAGTCATGATACGATGACGTGTGATTGCATTTTGTAGTTAGCGCAAGTGACACTTTTTCATTTCGCCCGGAAATATAGATATTAGTCGAATGGGCCATATCCGTTTGTAGCGCAGAGGCAAAATGTAGCTCTTTCGCTCCTTGGCTAATTTTATTGTATGTGGCATTGACAAATGACGTAAGATATGTAGTTATAATATGAGTAAAGAAGGCTGCGTGCAAATGCGCATCTTTAATGCGCAGCAGAGTAGTGCGATTATCGTGCGGTGACGCGCTGAGGAACAAACGAGACGCGGGATCCGGCCTCGAAAGCAAGATAAAAAGTGAAAAAATTAGTAAACAGGTGGCCATACTTTCTCACATATTCAACGCAGAAGACTATCGGCCAAAAAAAAAAAAGCACAATGCGTAGGGTGTTTTAATACGTCTGTTCTTTTGTGTGTTTCAACTATGTGTAGAGGTGCTTATGCTTTCGTTTAGGACTTTGATGACTATCTAAACGGAGATAAAATAGGATTTTCCAGGTACTCTAAGAGTGGTATATATTTAATACAGAATGTGGTATATGACAGGTACGTAACCATTTGCGTTCGGAAACCAGGAACGGAAGTCAAAATGCCGACTGGCTGCCGAACGTTGAGAAGCGTTCGTCTCACTTATTGGACATATATGTAAGCCGAACGCCTTCCAAGTGTACATCCGTGTTAATCCAGGCGAGGATCAAATATTATGTGTTCAAGCAGACAGCGGTGCTCTTTTCCGTGCAATAAGCACGCTCCACGCCTCACAGAAAAATATCGCATGTGACGACAGAAAATCAGAAAAGGGAAAGCGGACGCTGTTTGGTTCACTTTTGTTGCGAGGTGGCACCTGGGTTCTGTCCACGGTGCAGTGTTTCAGTTGCACTGTTATTAGTGGTGCACACCACTTTAGCCCCTTCATGTTATTTTAAACAAATAAATTGCTGACGTTTCCTCTCGCGCCAACCATTCTCCCCATGTGTACACAGTTTCTTCTCAATAACGCATCACGGTCTGCGTAACTACTGCCTATGTCAAGCCTGTGGTAAAGGCAACGGTTACAGAGGAAGGGGCATGGCATTAACGTTTGAAATGTCATGCAATTCACCCTGCTACTTGAGGTACTCCTGTCTACTACTCTCGCGGTGGCTGTACCTGCCAGCCCACCGTTCTTTTACCAGTCTGGATACAGATCTGCCTGTACACACCTTTGCAAAAATCGCCTTCTGTGCGTTGCCATTTTTGTCTGCTGGGCTGTGGAATACAGACCTGCCTAGATTGTTCCGTTATGGGATGCACTGGATATATGGTAGCTATAAGCGAGCACACTTTGCGACAAGCTGAGCTTAGTACGGAACCTCACCTAGTTGCCAGAGGGCAACTAGGGACGTCATGTGACGCATCAGGATCTTCTAGAGCCCACCCAATCCATCTTCTAGTTGGGGCACGGTATTACCATAGGAACTGTCAAGCCATGCACATTTCCACTTCAGGTACTCCTGGCTGCAATCCTCGAGGTGGCCCCATCTGACAGCCCTCTGTTCTTCTATCAGTCTCGATATAGATTTCCCTGTATACCGAGCTGACTGGATTGTTCCATTGCTGGATCTACTGAGTAGAAGGCTTCTACAAGCCGGCCCACACTGCAAGCAGTAGCACCTAGTACGCAACTTCATTGGCGTCTGGCAACTAGGTATGGGATGTGACTCGCGTCAGGATCTACAGAAGCCCGCGTGATCCGTCTTCCAGTTTAGGCACAGCATGTCGGAACTGCCAAGCGATCAACCTCTCTACTTCAGGTACTCCAGTATCTATCCATGCGGTGGCCCTACCTGCCAGACCGCCGTTCTTCTATCGGCCTGGATACAGATATCTGGAGAACCAAAACAAGGTGCAGAAAGGACAAACACTAATCTCCGAACACAACTAAGTGTGCGATCTAAAATATCAGTCTAATCTCAGTCATAAACGTGGGTGAGATGCGAAAGGAATATAATTAGATTTTTCTCGCACAATTTCGAGTTGATTTTAACCCCTCGAAACTCAGAATATCATATAGTATAGGTCGCTAAAAAAAAGCCGAATTGTCGCAAATTTGTTTTGATTTAAAATTACGGAACATATTTTGGCGTCTGGTCACACAATGAAACACAACGCATTCGTGATGATAAAGAAATATACCAAATCATCTCGGCCTTACGTGTGGAAAGCTATTTCGATTTTCACACACCCTTCAAGATTTGCTGAGACAAGCTCCTCATCAATAAGAAGCGTTACGTCGACGGTCCGGTAAAAGAATACGCAATGAATCTTAGCGCATAGCTAAATGATTATAAGAAGGCCCGGAACCCACCTCCAACCTGCTGTTCTAGCTAAACTAAAAAATAGCAGCGTCATATTTTTAGTTTTGGAAACGTTCGATGCTTCATGCCATAAAAGAAAGAGATATGCAGCTTTGTCATCGATAGTCACTCTGATATTACTATATTTACAAAAAAAAATTGTCAAAATAGGACGTTAATGACGATTAACCGTTTTTGATCAGTATACGAACTTTCTTTATCAAAACATGAACTTTCTTTAAACCGTCCTTCTTCCCTAACACAATGGGCGAATAGAATAATCTTCCTAAAAGTGTTTTCGAATCAGAATTACTGACCATCTATAACAACGCGCTACTCAAATTTTTTTAGTCAGTTAGTCTCCCTGTATTGCATTGGTGTGTTCTGTTTTAGTCATTTTTTTTCGGTTCTTTCTGCATTGGCGTTTAAATAAAGATGCTGGCAGTATAGACGAATAAAGAAATAAAGATCCCTATCTTTTATCTCGACAACAGTTTAGGTCCTTTATCGTACGCCGCATCGCTTTTCCCTCTAACTTTTAATAACTTAGTTCCGCCTCTTGCCAGAAAAAAAGGGAATAATCTGGCAAAGCACATTACAAACTTTCTCTATTTAGATTGTAGAAGAAGAAATATTATTGGATTCTATCTGGACTTTATGTTTCCAAAAACATTGCGAGTTAGATTTCTTGTTCCATAATCCAAATAGTGAACAGTTATATTGGATTTTGGAGGTAATGTGTATTATCTGATATTAATTTGTATTCAAGTCATGCTCTCAAAAATGGCCACCGCTTGGTCCACACAAACAATATATTTTGCTCTTGATTTTTTTTTTTTTTCTATGCCAATGTTTTCGAAAGGCATCTTTTCATTCTACTTTAGTTCGTATTCGTAGAAACATATAGTGCGGTTGTTAAGTTAATTGATGCTTATTCTAGAACCGTTCTTCCAAGTCGATGAGAGTGCCTAGATTACGAATCACCCTTTGATCCTCTTTGTGTACGTCAGGATATAGAGGATAAAACATCTTAAAACGCAAAACGCCAGGCATATTTTAGAGAACAATAAATAAAAGAAAACGTTGAGGGCGTGGTCACTGTAGCTGTACGGGTTACATTCAAGCAGCAGACGTATCTTTTCCAGGGTCGGTGGAAGCTATTGTATAAAAAATATATATATATATTTACGCTAATTCTGAAATAAAAATCAAATTTAGTGGAGAAAGCGTTAAGAGACAGCGGTATTTGAGCGTTCAATTAATGTGAGTCACATAAAGAAAATAAATGTTTAATTTCTACCTGATGCCAAAAGAATAACAAAAGTTATAAATTAATAACAGCAAGGCATTGGTATCAGACGTCCACTCGTTATTAGACTGTGCCTTTGAAAACAAAACATCATTGGACAAAATAAAATCTGCCTTGAAAATCATTTGATGATTGTCGCGTAAAAAAAAAGAAAAAGAGAAACGAAGAATGCAAAGCAATGTAAAAGAAATATAGCAATGTTTGAAAATATCCAGAAAAAAAAGCATGAGGTGTAGCTTTACATTAATTATATTTTCATAAAAAAGGGACAAGAACTGTCTAGAAGGGTATGCTTTTGGGCTATTTGTAACTGCAAGCTGTAGAGATTAAACCGCCAAAAGAAATTACGCCATAAAGGACTGCATGCCGGTGCTTTTTAGGCGCTTTATCGGATTGCTTGCCGGTTCTTTTTCGGCGCTTTAATTCACACAACATAGTATAGATGCTTGGGAGAAGAGCGTGTTGGTTTAGGTCATGGATGAAGAAAGAATAAAACAATTAAAACAGGGCAACACACCCACATCTTTTGATACTAACGAAAATAGGTTTCAGAAACACTAAAAATAAGTTTCAGAAGTTTCTAAATGCCTATGGACTGCGATCGCTCTGTGCTACGTTTGAGATTAGAGGCAGTTTTGAGTAATAAACACGAACCCTTAGGCCAGTTTGTTTCTAGTTTCAGATTATTCCAGACGGTTCAAATAAAAGTGCGATGGGCTTTGACACTGTGCTTTACCTCTGATATCTTGAACCATATTCAGTTATTGAGAGAATACTGCAATGGTTTTTAAGTTTCCCTTACATCGAAAAATCTGCCATAAACAAGCAGTGAAGTTCCGTCAGTTCATTTCTTTTGCTCTATCGAGAGTGATAAAGTCGTCCCATTGACGTTGTTTCTTTTTTCTCTAAAAAAAATACACCGTGCTCATACTGTCCTTTATGATAACTTTGCCGCTCAGTGTACAATATCTACAACAATTAAACACGAAGTTGTAGCTTACGCAGAAAACTGCGCTTAACGATGTAGAAACACAGCTCATTAAAACAAGAAATTGACTACACTGCGATTACTCATAGGCAGTGAGAAATCACTTACATCCTGGAAATGGTCGTCTGGACATCTCTTCAAATTAGGATCGAGTTCAGCGCACGTTATTTTCCCTGCTGAGTGGAGCACAAATATGCCAAGATAAAACTCACGTGAAGCAATAAGTTATAATATTTGAGGGCTTACCTAAACAAGCGACGATTACGATGAAAAGACTTGCGGCCGGCATTATCAGTTCTCGCAAGGAATTGAAATATAAAGAACGGTAAACTAGCTCGATATCAGCCTGAGGTACGTGCTGAGGAAAAGGCTAACGCTGTCTCTGTCTGCAAGTGGTAGGTAATCCCCCTTTTTATATATGAGGTTATGTGAGTGAAGACGCGTGTACCTATAACAACAATGGACAAAGAGAGCGCGTCGTTCGCCTTATAATATGACTTGCGAAAGTGAAGAGATCTGTAATGGGTTGACGTTCCAACACCTGCTATGCGTGATCTTACTCCGAACAATTCAGCTCGGACACTTGGACCTGTTGAAAGGCACGACAACAATGGTTGTTTGTGAAGCTAAAGAAATGTGCCTGAAAAACATGCACGCTCAAAAAAAAAAGGAAAAAAAAATAGAAAACACTGTAGCAAGAGCTAAGTTTGTAAAAAGACCTTGTGCCAAGCGAAATTCCTTGTATGAGGAACTTTAACACTATTACGTAAAGAAAAAAAAAACATGTAGAATATACGCTTTGCAATAGTACCTGTCGAAACAGCGTTCTAGAAATATCGTAAGGAAGAACATTTTTTCCTACAAAAGCGATGGAAAGGATTGATTGTTTGGTCTATTATTTTAGCCATGCTATCATTCGTGAAAGAATGTACGATGAGCATTTATTGTAGAATTCTTATGAATATAATCAATTCTTATATTTGCAGAATTCACACCCTAATTTTGGCAATACTGAAGCCTACGGATTTCTGTGTAAAATATTGCAATTCAAGTACAAGGTACCATGGTGTACAGTCTCCGTCAAACGTAATGCTCTAACGGACCACCAACAGTATTGAACAATTTTCCGCAACTCGGGAACTGACCTGTCGGCGAAGAAGCAGCTCTTGCTATCCTGTTTGGAACAGTGACCAATGTTTTAGATTGTAACCGCGTACGGAGTTGGCTATTAAAATAGCGCCAAACACGACTCATGCGGGCTAACAAATGGAGGCAGTTAGTGTAAAAGCTACTTTTTTTTCTATCTGACATGTATGAAATATTTAAAGATTTACTTGTCTAACGAACATAGTGAAAAAAAAACAACAACTGGCATTTAAGATACAAAAGGGGGAAACAAAATAACGTCTACAAAACTCGGCTGCAAATTTTATTTGGACGCGTCTCCTTTGCACAGCGTGTCTTTGTAAGATTAACATATTTGTTTTAAAGATATCCTTGAAAGTTACACTTATGCGATTTGTTCAGGCGAGTTATACTTCCAGGGGGACATAATATGAAGGCTAATCGTAGCGATCGGTCGGCTAATTAGGTGAAATTCGTTGGTTAATTAGCTCGTAATTCGTGAAAATAGACACATGGCTCCAATAAAAAGAAAACTAGCTGAGCGGCATCAAACTCCACTGTATCAATAATTTTGAGACATATTTTGAGCGGGTGAGAGGCGCAGTTGTGCGCTAAAGTAATCGTTCGTGCAGCAGGATCACAGCTGCCGGAGCGATGACGTGTCTGCGCGACGTTTTCCGTTTCTTATCATACCTTGGTAACCTGTTGCAGATGTAAGAAGCCTTGGTACCTGTTGTAGAAGTAGTACTTTTAGTGCAGTACTACGCTTCCCACGCGCTCGAACTATTTCTAAAATTGATTTATTTAGTGGTTTTCGATGACGCTTAGCAAGTTTTTAATTGAACCATGTCTATAGACTTTTCCATCTCTGTAGTTACCTGGCCGGTGGACAGAGGGCGTTGACACATAACGTGGCTTCAATTCGGTTGGTCGTATTCGCTTAGCTTTGTAATACATATGTGTCCCTCGTTGTACACACCCAATAATATAGAGGCAATGGGCCACCTTGTGAACTAAAAACGTTGTTACGAGCCTAAATTTTGGACGTTCTTACGAACACCTTTATTTGATTATGTTCTTCGTTCGGTCAGGTTCGCCGGTGAAAGAACTGGCATAATACCGGGGGAAGGTTACGTATGCCTGCGGCCGTACTGGACGTGTCTGCTGATACCTGTTTAAAAAAAAAAATAAACTAAGACTAGTATATGGAGGCACAGACATAATGCAGGTCAACGACCTGACTGACAATGTGCTGAATCACAGAGAACAGGTGAACTGGCAAATTTAGCGCTCACTGTTCGGTTTTCGAGGACGCCAAAGTTTTGCTAAAATTGCCGATAGGGAAATCCTCCTGTAATGACGATGGAAGGCAAAAAGGAAGCGATATTGCCACGCGCATCACCGACCGAGCTTGTGCGTGGCCGAATCTCCGAAACTATCGAACATAGCTTTCTATACTGCTGGGACAAAGTGTCCTTTTTTTTGGATATCGTGCAGCGAACATTAAAATAAGACCTACGCCGAACACCCCATTCTTTCCGTTTTCTACCCATCGGGGCGAACGAGACTCGTCCGCTAGATATGATTATGGTTCTTGGGTTATTTAGCGTGTGGAAAGTCGCGGATGATGGTGAGACACGCAGAGCATTTCTGCAAGTCAGCGCGTATTTTCTTTACTGATTATGTTGTACAGGGAAATAGTGTTAATGGACAGAGCGAATACCCGCCTCAGTGGATTGGATTGTATGATAGCCTCTCACGCATGAAGGAACTTTAATCACCGCCGCCCATGTGCACTGTGCTTCCTCATTTTAGAAGTGTAAATAATGCGTAAATACATGCAGGCATGAGTTCGTATTCTGAATAAAGATATTAAAAAAAAAATGGTACGTGGCAGTATGGATTCAGGGCTTGGCTTTTGCGCGGAGGCCCTAGGTTTGATCCCAGGAGAAAGGACGATTCTTTCATTCATTCTTTCAATTCAGAGTTCTCGTAAGTTGGAGAATCCTGCCGTCTGATCGAATTACAGATGTTCTACGGGTCCAGGGTTATACGTCGAATGTTCCAGAAACCCTTTCGGGTACAGAAGGTGCTCCGCGTGGCGGTCGGGAGTCAGTCTTTCGACTGCGCTTGGTCCTCCAGATACGCCGCCATCGACGACTGTTATTCCCGCTAAGGTTTATTTTGTCTTGGCACATGTTCGCCCCATTAAAGATTCACAGCCGTATTCAAAAGTCGTGACTAACTAGTGCTGTTTTAAAGTTAGTACCGCCTCTAAGTAGTCGCGAACGAAGAGAAAAATTCAGCGACTAAGGATCGACTAGTTCCGCGGTATTCACGAGCGCGAAGTGAGCTGGTGACTATCTAATCAGAACTAACAAGCGTATGTGAAATAAAAAGATGGGTCACGCTTACGCGTACTTAAACGCCGCCGCATAAATGGGTATTTTATCGCATCAAAACTAATATTTACATGTATATCAGGATAAAAAAGTTACAATGAGAGTCTAATTGTCCGAGGGAGGATTTTACAAAGAAGAACTTAAAAAAACGCAAGAGAGAAACACGGCAGCCACGTTGCCAGTGACATAAACAAGTCTGGAAGCGCCCGTAAATGCGTTTTTTTTTCTCGTCGTCCAGCACCTTGCCGAGATCTTTTTAGCGGTATCTCTGACCGTTGAATATGGCTGTTTACACAATATTTGCTCCTCGAATTCTTTCTGCATGTTTCCCCTAGCGTGCCGAGACAGTAAGTGTTTTGTTACCGCTGACGGTCAGCGGTGATACAAGTCGGCCATGTCGTTGAGCCGTCAGTCACCCGCTAAACACGGGCTAAACTAGCCTTATCCCATGATTAAGGTTTGCTAGTCGACTTCTTAGTCGCGTGGGGCGACTAGGCCCTAAACACGAGCGGTGAAAACCAATCGCTCACTTAGCGGCGACTATCGCCCTCCGCGTGATCCTTTTTGTCGATGACGTCGGTAGTCAGTGGTTAAACAGGCGCTACTCGCGCTTGGTGAATACGGGTGTCAGTTTTATTCAGTGATTCGTCGCCTCATCGATCGTCAATTGTTTCAATATTGTTTCATTCTGTTTCTTTCAAGCTGCCAAGAAACGATTTTTCTATTTTCGCTAAATACTACTTACAATCACTCTCTAACCTTACGAACTGAAAAAAACTTGCCTTAGTTTTTCGTTCGAGGCGATGGCAGTCGCCAAGAAAATCCGAGCAATATGAGCGTCGTTCGTCCACTCAACTGGTAGCCAGAACTAGCGGCCACGTGGCCTGGTGCCTTTCAGAAGTCGCGTGCCAATTCATAAAAATAAATCAGATCTACTGCACAATGGTAAAACAACCGACATCGCTGAACGTGCAAGTAGAGTGAGCGGGTAGCGTCGACTTGGGTTGCCACTGCACGAAGACTCGTAACCCGGGACGCATTCGAACCCAAGAAGCTCTCCCTGTTGTCTCTCATTGTGCGTGGATTACGCAACATCCAATAAAGGGCCCAGTTTCGAAGGGGGTCTATCATAGTCACGCCCTTGGGTTGGCAAAGTAGAACACGTGCGAGGAGCTCCAGGTATCGTTAGAATTCGGCTATTCTCATCACCGCAGTGGTTAAACACAAGGTACTCACTACAAGAGTATCCACCGAGGATTTCATTGTTGCGAGCCGAAACCGAGTGCTCATGCAGTTCTCGTGCCCAAACCATGAGCCATGCTCGACAGTCGTCAGACGGGTGGTTTCGGTCCCACAGTTAGTCTTCAAGCTTTGCGAAGGCAAGCCTGAGAGAAATAGTCCCCTTTCATCCTCGCAACTTCACCGCGACAAAGAAGCTTCTGAATCAGTGACGGTCTGAGCGTGTATACTTGAGCCAGACTAGGACCAGCACGCCTCTGTAAAGTAATAAATATTTCAACCCGATATTGTTTCATGACCCCTTTATCGAAATTAAGCACTCGGGAGATGGTTTAATGGTCCAGCCTAGGCCGCCTAGGAAATTTTTTCCAACTATCAGCCCGGTAGAAATATTTATTATCAGTATTTTACCAAGTTCACCCCAAAAACTATTTGTTGTACGAACATTTCCTTAAAACGTATTCCGAGTGTGAGATAAGGGACAAACCCGTTAAATGAAGTCTGAGGTCTGCCTTCCATACGA